AAAAAAAAAAAAAAAAAAAAAAAAAAGTCTCGGCTAACGTCAGATTATAGATCAAGATGGAGAAAGGTCTTCGGGAACAACCATTCCCAGATGCTATCCTCCGAGAAATGGGCATTCGTCTTCCTTCTAGTATGCATTTCCCTCAAATTCTTACCTCAGCGGATAGATTTATTGACTTGATTAATTAGCTCTCAGTGAACTTTCACGAATTCGTAACATTGATCCTGACAAAGTTGAGCGGTACGGCTCAAAGTTCTTAAAACTTATTGCTAGGTCAAAGAAGTATTACGAAGATATAGCTGGAGGCCAGGAACAAGGCGAAGATGTTCACGATCCCAACCACGAAAATGTTGTTACTATAAGTAGCGACGACGAGATATATGGTGACTGGACTGAGGATGAACTAAACTATGCAGATGAAGCTCAGAATCACAGCCCCTACTTCCTAGACGACACAGCCTCATCCTTTAAGGCAAAAGGTTCGTTATCGCCTTATCCATAACTGCTCGCGGTATCTAACTTCAGCTTCAAAAGTTTCTGAATATGAGTTCTCTAATGTGGGGCCATCACGGCAAGCAAGCCATTCGAAATCAAATTCAGCCCAACATCCCACACCGCGGCAGGCCAATTCTAAACGCTCTCGTCCTCCTAAAGCAGCCCGCGGAAGTAAACCCTCTGGAGCTAGGTTTAATAAGAAGTCTCAAAGTTCTAGGCCTGCAAAGCGAAAATCCTCACCCACTACTTCAAGATCTCGGAGTAGCTCTAAACCAGCGAATACTCGTGGCCCATCTATTGGAATGATGCCAACATGAGTATCCTTTTTCACCCGCATCATAATTTTTTCTTGTTTAGACACAACCTTTCCCTTCATAATACCATGCATTCTTGAGTTGGCACCGTATAATACCCACATTAATAGATCCAGGTATGGGTACATTCTACGTGAATATTTATTATTTACCTTTCCATGACTGTGAGATAAAGTATGTGGTATAGCGATATTACGAAAATAATGGAGTGTGAATGACTATATCCGAATGATCTGGTGTGCCTGAAAAAATTACTACATATCGCGTACTCGACTCTGCACGAGGTATCTCCACACCTTCAGAATACCTGATTGCAGGTTAGCATCGTTTCCGTCCAACTAATTGTAGACCGCTTGGTATGAGGAGATAGGAAAAACGTACTGCGCCACCAATTATAAAAAGTCGTTCTTGCTCTCGTTGAGCCCAGAATGCGATTTTATTTGCGCCCTGGGATAAAGCGTTTCGATTGGAGTTTGGCGATGCCACACAGTAGAGTTCAAATGTTGGCGTTACCCAGGCAAGTGAGTTGAAAGAAGATGAGACACAGTACTGTACTTTGACATTTGCAGGTTTTCCATGAACGCTTAGATGAAGTGAATGGTAAGCCGACATAAGCCTATATTATTATGGTCAGCATTATTGGCATCATATAACTGATTGTTGAATCGGGGAGAGCAAATACCGTCGACGATCTAGTATTGACATAAATTCGGGAGAGTAGGATGACATGGTGAACTGGACATTCGCTTTTGATTTGTATAAAAAGTGCCGGACCACGGTGCCAGGGACGATATCAGTAGGAGCCGGTCGCCCCTGTTCTAGAGCTACTCTGAGAACTTCCATGCTTCCGTTCTTTTCCATTTGCTAGAGATGACGTTAATTTGTAAATCGTTGTTAGAACTCCCTCAGTTTTACGAAGCCTTACCTCAACAAGAGAATCACGCATTTCGTGCAAGGTATAAAAGCTCTCTTTATTGGGGCTTATCAAGATGATTGCCACGACATCATCCTTTTTCATTTCTTCTGCACTCTTTTCGGCTTCTCGATCTCTCTGGACGTCAAGAAAGCTCACGTACATGTACAGGTAACCTCTGTTATTGAAACCAGGCAGGCATATGGGGATCCAGCTTTCCCCACCACTGGCCTTGACCCCATCTGCTTCGAAGATCATGTTGAAGATTAGCTGAAGGTCTCCTGGATGAAGAGAGTGCTTCTTTGGCCTAACAACGCTCACAAGTCTCCCACCAGCAACCAGCAAGCCGTAAAGAAGAGGTTCAACTCTAGCTTTGAGGAAAGTGTTGCTGATAACCTGACGGTGAGATTTCCGAATTTTTAACGATTCTAAAGCGCCCAATAGAGTAGAAGGGGAGCCTTTTGTGAAACTATCGGCAAGTGAGGACAGAAGCGATTCAGTCCCTTGGAGCGGTCGCCGTAAGTCTGAGCTTGGTCTAACAGCAAATATATGGTCAAGGGCAGGAAGCGTCAGTGTCGACAGTATTTGCATGTACAAAGCTTCGAGCTGGGCTCTTAAGTGGGCCTGGCTTTCAAGCAATGAGCTGATGGCCACGAGATACAAGGGGCCCTGGGAGAGGATCACAATTTTTGTCTTCCCGGCAGAAAAGCTTTTGAGAGGACCCCCCGATTCTTGGTAGAACGAAATGATGGTTTGAATAATACCAATGAACGGGGATATCAATCCCCCATCTCCATGGCGGGTATATATAGGTTTTCCGGCTGAGGAGAGTATGAAAAAATGTTTCTTCTTCCTCCTCCACTTTTCGAGTTTTTCATCTGTCTATGTTAGCTCTGCAAAGGTTAGGTAAACAGGGAGTCATTGGTATACCTTCATTCTCTCCCTCATTCGAGTTGTCAACTGAATCAAACTCATCCTCAAACTCAACGGCAATATCATCTTCTCGAGACTGCGCATTGAAAATAGACTGATTTTCTCCAGGCTTCATTGATGCGTTTCTGAATGGAATCTCAGCTTCAAAGCCGCCGAAATCGCCAAATACACTCCCTGCATCAAAGGTAGTGTCGCTTTCTGGCATAAAGCTTCGAATGCTGCCATTATCTCCTATGTCGATCCCCACTCTGCTCCCTCGCCTGGAAGTACCGGAGGTGGCTGGTCTCACTATCTTTTCAGGGCCTCCTCCTCCTGCTGCTGTTGCAAGAGATACATAATTCTCTCGGTTAACATCATCCAAGGCCTGAACATTAACATTTGCCAGTGAAAGAGCTGTAGTTGGTCCTGACTGAAGTTTATGGGCTGCCGAGTAAGGGTTCAAACCAGCATCTGGCTGCCCATGGGGCGGCTTTTGCGGCCGGGATGGAAGTGGTGGAGGTTTAGCATCAGAACTCCCGTCGTTGGCATTTCCACTCCCCTTGTCTGTGTCTCTCTTTGGGCTGACAGGCTGGTTTTCGGGGTCTTCATTCCCTGAAGGCGTCTGCGGTCTCGAGGGAGCCATTGAATATATTCATCGCGGACGTTCTTCTGGACTGCTGAGTGCCTGCATCCGACCAGTTGTAGATATCATCGGGTAGTCCTAGTGGTAATCATCTAAAACTCCGCTGCTCTATCACCTCCTCATCGCCGGTGTTGCTGTCCTGTCGGGAATAGTTATCGTTGTCCGGCCGTAGCTTGTGGTGGTGGTGGTGATGAGGTGAGGTCATAGTTAACTAACTATTAGGTTGGTGACGGCGTTTTGGTTGTGGCCAGATCAGGCAAACATCAACCTCACAACATGAAAAAAAGAAAAGGCCACTTTATGTACTTGCGTGCCCATTTGGTGATTCGAGAGGATAGAAACAGAGATTGATAATGGCCGGCTTGCAACGCAAGGGTCTTTTATCAGTTAAATACAATGAGCCTTGAACCGAGCGGCCTCCCAAGATCCTCTTCGCCCGCCAGCTCCGAGGCGTCTCTACCAAAACCTCCAAACCGCCCATACGAAGGTAAGCAACCTCTGGGAAACGATCTTATGAACCACGCCCGGCCTAACCAGCAATATTAGATGCAGAAGGCTTGAAGAAGGACAAAAGCTACCGTCGCTACGCTGCGAATGTTGACCGCGCTCTCTCTCTGTTCGATACCGCCCTGCAAGAATGGGCGGACTACATCTCGTTCCTCAGCCGCCTATTGAAGGTGCGCACCACTCGTTATGATATTTCATACATATGGGGGATACCACTGACACCAGGGCGACTAGGCGCTTCAAACTCATCCGCCGTCACTATACCTTGTACCGAATAAGTTGCTTGTTGCGAAAAGGCTTGCGCAATGCCTGAACCCTGCGCTCCCATCCGGCGTTCACCAGAAGACATTAGAGGTATATGGATATATTTTTGGGTTGCTTAAAGTAAGTTGAAGTACTATCAAATCTTAGCTCTCGGATAACTCATATATCCTTTAGTCTGATGGTCTGGCTCGAGATCTGGCCATATATCTCCCAGGAATTGCTCCCATATTGTCGTTTGCGTCTCTTTCAGTCCGACCGATATTTCTATCCCTTATCGAGAGCCATATCCTACAACTTAGCCCCACTGCGCTACGTCCAGCTATCAAATCCATTATACTAGCCCTTCTTCCCGGTCTTGAAGACGAGACAAGCGAGGACTTTGAAGAAACACTGAAGTTGGTGGACAAGCTTCGTGAAATATCAAGCACTGCCGGTGATGACTCTGGTGCGGCGACTGGAAGCCAGTACTTCTGGCAGTGCATGTTTCTTGCGTCTGTTACGAATCCGTCTCGACGAGTAGGAGCCCTTGCATACCTAAATCGTCACCTACCAAAGCTCGCTGGTAAAATACCATCGGATGATATCGTCAATGAAACTGGCGATTATGAACAGGGAGAAAACAGGACTCATGATACGACCAGTGCGCTAGAAAGCGTCACATCACCAGAGCCAGGCCTTCTGATTCGATGTTTTGCAACTGGGTTGGCGGATGAACAAGTACTTATACAGCGAAATTTTTTGGACCTGCTTGTCACCCATCTCCCCCTACATTCTTCTGTTTTACAACGACGGATTACTTCTAAGGACCTAGAGCTACTTGTTGGTGCTGCTGTTGGAGTGGTTATCCGGAGAGATATGAGTCTCAATCGTCGACTGTGGGCATGGCTATTAGGGCCTGATTTTGATAAATCTTCTCATGCGAATGATGCCGGAGTCCACAACTCAATGTCTGCTAGCTCCGCTGCTATGGCTACTTTTGACAACAATAGCTCGAAGTCACATTACTTCGAACAATTCGGTTTTAAGCCCCTTGTCAGTAGTATCAAGTCTATGCTTGCGAAGAATTCTTCCAACCCAAACGAGCGATCCAGGCCATACCGTATATCTTTATCACTTATGGATCGGTGGGAAGTTGGAGGATTGGTGGTTCCGGAAGTTTTTCTCCCCGTCATCCGCAGTACGCAGAGATACAAACATATTGCCAAGTCAAAGGCCAGTTTTGATGAAGTGTTCCGGAGCGCCAGTGCTTTCTTTGATGGTGTAGAAAGCAGCTTAATATTTTCGGAGCTTGTCGGTCTGGTTCTCTCTCCTCGTTCGAGTATATCACGGCCAAATCGTATGATGGACGACTTACGACTGGCTACATTCATGTTGTCCCACTTCAATATGAAAGAAGAAGAAATGCTAACCACACATATACCCCTCCTAATCTTATCATTACTTCTGAAAGCAAAGGCCTTATGCACATCCAGTGCATGGAACGAACCGGGCTACTCTAGTGTAGCGAGTTCCGCTCTTGATGAAATAGGGTCCGTTGCCAATTTACTGGTTCGCCTTGTTCCTGAAAGAGCATTCACTCCTCATCCGGAGAAAAGTCGAGACTCAAACATGGATAATTCTACAACATCTATTAACAATGAGCAAGTAACAAAAGCAATTCTAAGTTTCTATTCTCGAAGCAAGGATTCGCTGCGCCTCCCAGAGCCCCCTTTTTCGTCCACCGGAGTGGCCACCATCATTCTCCGCGAAGCTCAGTCTTTGGTTATGCTTTCTTTGGAATCAGATACTCAGACCGAATTCCTCAGAGAAAGAATAAATTTGTTCGTTGCTCTGCTGAGTAAAATGCAAAGAGCAGAGCTCCCAGAACCAGGAAAACTATATGAAGCCATCGAGGAAAAGCTTACTACTGCAAACGATGGCCATAGTGCCCTCCCTATGTCTGCTGTCAACTCAGCTGTATTTGCTCTTACCTCCTTATATTCCACGAAAAAGTCCAGTCGTTACATCAGCTATGAGCAGATTACAGATCTGATTCCAGTCTTGGTCCAACAACTATGGGATTTTCTGGAGCCGGCAAACTTGCGCTTTCATGTTGAAGCTGCAGCATGTTTATGGCTCTTACACTCTGTTAGCTGGAGAGACCATCTTGTCGAAGCCGCAATAACCTCGGTCATGATCTCTCCCTCGACTTCTTCCCATCAAGCTCCACTTGATCAAGCAGAGAAATTTTTTGTACTTTGGAACCATAGCCATCATTCCAACACGGATTCTTTTGCATTACGTACTCCTAGTGATGATGGCCCAGATATAAAAACAGTATATCGTGCAAATCTCTTGAGTCAGCCACTGTTTAATGTTCTGGGTCTTCTGTCATCTGGTTCAGAAGATACATCTTTGGCAGTCAGAGATTGGCTTCGTGATTTACCATCAACATATGAGTAAGTCAACATCCATAACGCAACCTCGGTCACCAGAAACTAATAAAGCGATGGTAGGCTATTTCGTGTCATTTTGCTGAAGTTCCGCGACTTCCATCTCCTTCAGGAGACATCGACAGAGGAAACAAGCGAATTCAGGGAAACAATGATACTCAACCATGCCAACCAGTGCATTTATATGCTTCAGCTAGTGCGAAACGTGCTATCTGTGCTAAGCCCGGCTGGATGGTCGTTGATATTATCAAATACTGCCACGCAGCCATCACGAACTAAATCTGTACCATTCGATGTAGAGGGTAAGTGCTCCGTACTCTGCGCTGCACATAGTTTCAGCATTACTAAAGATTAAGTTAGAAAACAAGGGAGAGGTCACCATCCAAACCGAGATTTCACAGATATGCTTCCATGCACTTCATGGCGTCCATCGTGTGCCAGAGAGCCTTCATCAACAACAAAATCAGATAAGAAAAGAAGCCTTGTCCCTTCTGCGCCTACTACTGTCCAGTACAGGAGCAGAAAAGTTGCTCTCTTTAGATATCGATTCCTACCTCCTTGATCATCTATCCCTAGCCTTAGATGAGGGGAAAGTAGAGCACCAGTCTTCTATAATCGACGCTCTGACTCCGGTTCTTAAGATGAGATACGCGCATCATATAGGGCTTTCAACTGCTGCATCTAACAGACATCAGAGAAAGGGATCTTTTGATATATCCCGAATGTCGTTTAGTGCGGAGAGGTCTGACAAGAGCCAAGAAAGCCAAACCTTACCTCAACCGCCTGCAAAGCTCTTGGATTGCCTACTTAAAGGCATCAGCTCAAAGGTATCCCGGCCCATCATTGACAAATGGGTTAATTTCCTTGCGGAATGTCTACCATTATACTACAAGTCCATTTTTAAGGTACTCCTAACGCTCGCGGAGTGCTTCTGCAAGGAAATAAGTTCTTCATTCAACGAACTTCAAGTTATGTTTCAAAAGTTATCGGAAGGATCCCCTAGTTGTTCTCCTGAACATACCACGATAGCTTTATTGAGTGGCCTAGAGACTTGTGTTGCAACTGCTCATGACCGCCTTCAAGTTGAAGAGGTGAACACAGCTGCTGTGAAATCACCAGATCAGCCGCAGGGTTTTTTTGGTAGCATGTTTGCATCTGAAGGAGCTCAAGCCCAGCCCACGAGTAGCAACAACACGAGACTCACAGTCCTTCTGTGTTTTCAGGATGCTATGCAGCTATGCTATTCAATCTGGGCATGGGGTCCTGGTGGCCGAAGTAAATCGCCTCGTGACCTTGATTCCGTTGCGTCCTTTCAGTATACCTCATTGAGAATGAGAAACAGGGCTAGAAGGATACTCGAACATTTGTTTGCAGCTGAAGCCCTCGAATGTCTTGAAACGTTGATCAAACTATGGCGTACGTCTATAGCTTTGGATGAACCTGCCAAAAGTAGAGCAATATTTAGCCTACTCCATACCCTGGACGGATCAAAACCTAAGGTCACGATTCCTGCCATTTTCAATGCTATATATAGCCGGACAAGCCCAGCTGCACTAGAACCCAGCCGTAAATCATCCATGTCTTCTGAATTGTCAGAGACTGACCTCGCAGCTTTCCTTGTCATGTACGCTAAGTCATTGGATGATGACTTTTTGGATGACATCTGGGGTGATTGTATCACCTTTTTGAAAGATGTTCTCACAAACCCATTCCCACATCGCCAAATCTTACCTCGGTTGCTGGAGTTTGCTGTAGTGCTTGGAGGCAAGATGGAAAACACCACATTTGGGGATGACC